ACACATTAGTGTGGGGATGGAAAAGTTGTCTTAAATTGTCAGCAAAAATAAAGCCTCCAGTTCAAACACTGCAAGCCAACTGTCAATCTATGTAAACGTGCATCATATATTTGTTTTTCCTTTCTGTTCATTAGGAGTATATGCCACTTCCTCCAGAGGAAGCGGAGAATGGGGAAAATGCTGGTGGTGAAGAGCCCAAGTTGCAGTTCAGTTATGTTGAGTGTCTTCTGTATAGCTTCCATCAGCTGGGTCGTAAACTTCCAGACTTCCTCACAGCCAAGCTGAATGCAGAGAAATTGAAAGACTTTAAAATCAGGTAACTGTTTAGGGACAGGTCTTGGAATTCTGTTAAGAGGTGTTACTTTAAGGATTTTTCTTCCTGGAAAATTATTTTAGAACTTCATTTTGCTTATGCTTTTATTTTATAGGAATATGTAAAATTAACCACTTGCTTTTAACTTTCTAGGCTACAGTATTTTGCTCGAGGGCTGCAGGTGTATATTCGGCAGCTTCGTCTAGCACTGCAAGGTAAAACAGGAGAAGCCTTGAAAACAGAGGAGGTAAGCGTTGTCTAAATATTGACTATATAATTGAGCATACAGAACTAACCATTGGTGCATAATGATAGGCTACCACCTGTTCTAAGCATGCAAATAGGTGAAGGGAATAATGCTGCTAATATCTGTTGGTGCTTTCTCTTTAAACTTATTTATGTTACCTATGTTTTAGATGATTGATATAATCTCAACTTGTCCACTAATCTTATTTCAAAGACATGGTTTTATTTTTTTTTATTTTTTGCATATGAGATTATGGTTCATTATTAAAATTCAGTTACCAACTACTAAACTTTATATTTCTGGATCCTCTCAGACATGAAATAAGGGAAAAGGCTACAGGTTATATCATTTAAATAAACTAAAAATGTTGCTTGGCATTGAGGACACTGCCTTCAACTTGGTGTGAGTTCTGCAGATTGGCCAGTTTCAAAATAATCAAGAAGGCTTTGAATAATACTAAAGCTCTACTAGGGCTACAGTTGTGATAATGGTTCAGTACCCGATTGGGTTATTGTTTATCTTGCACGATTTCCTGAGCATTACTCCTGCATTGTTTTAAAGTGGATCCTCTGATGTAACTGCAGTCTAACAACAGAAGAATGCACTTGGAGGAAGGGATTGGGAAGTACACTGGAACATAACAAGGAAATGGCTGTTGTAGAGCTGCTGGAAGTCTAAAAAACTATAACCTTGAAAGTATGCACACAGCTTTCACTACTGCTACAGCAGTTCACTGAATAGCAAATGGTATAATTTTAAGATACTGGAATAACAAGTATTCAGTGGTTTTTTGTTTTTTTTTTTTAACAGAACAAGATCAAAGTGGTTGCTTTGAAAATAACCAATAACATTAATGTTTTAATCAAGGTAAGTCTTAACATTATGAGGAAATAATAAGTAGATAAGTAGAGTAACCTACGGAGAAAAAGAGGAATAATTTGAAACAAATTGTATCGTGTTAAGTTAGTCTTTGCTAGTCAGCTGAGTGTGCTGCCTACTCTTCCGTTTCTGAAGGAACATGGATCTGTTGCTTCTGCTCCTTTGCCACTGTTTGGAAAGGGTATGTATTGAGGCGCTTTTTAGTGGCAGCAGTTGCCAGCAGGAATAGATAACCTTGTTTTAAGGGAGTATGAATTATAGCTTAGCTTTCTTTTCTTTTCATTCCTGCTGTCCTAGAGACAGGTAAGGAATAGTTCGAAGAATTGCAAAGAGGTGTAAAGGAAGGAAGAGGCAAAGCAAACTGCTTTTAGAGCTGTTTTCTCCAAACAGTCCGGAAGAGATGGGCTGAAGAAATATACTTCTATCCACAGACCTTGAAAACATTCTTATTTCTTTGAACAACATTTTTAAAACGTTACCAACTTCACTAGCTGCCTTTCTTCATATCCTGTCCCTCATCTTTAACCCATGACCGCAAACTAAATTTTGCCCATGCTATCAAGAAACTTTTTTTTAACCTTCACAACTGGGATATCAGGTGTGCCTGCAGGAGCCATTTAGTTCAAGATAGAGGGTTTTTTTTTCTTGCATATGTAGAGAAACAAAGTGTATTTTTGCAGTATAAGGTGTTATTCTGGTAATTCAAATCTCTTTTGAATTTCCTACTAAAGAATATGGAACTAAGATAGTTAGCTTCTGTTACCTTCTCTGCCACAGGGTTTTAAAGGTTTGGGTTTTAAAACTCTTCAGAATAGCAAGTGCTATTCTGGAGCCTCAGAGGGCAACTAAAACTTTGAGTGCAGTGGATGTGGATTTGACTGCAGAATGAACTGTCCAATTTTGTCTCCACAGGATCTCTTCCACATTCCTCCTTCTTATAAAAGTACAGTCACACTGTCCTGGAAACCAGTACAGAAGGCAGATGCAAAGTAAGAGGTTTTTCATTAACAGCAATGATGAAAAAAGTCTTGTTAACTTTTGCTGTTCACAAAATACAGATTCCAAGCTGTGCATTTATATAATGTACACAGCGTGAGTTAAAAGTTTCACAACCAAAATTAAAACCCACCCTGAAAGGATTTAAGGCTGGGATAAAATAATTTTGGTCTTGCTTTAGGGATATAATAGACTGAATCAACTAGAGACTAGTCTACTTCCTCTTCATAATTATTATTCAGGACATCTTCAGTAGTTGCTGCTAGTTTACAGTTGTTAATCTTTGAAGCTGAATAGTCATTCCTGTACTTGTCACCACAGGAGTAAAATGATCTGTTTTTGTTTTCTTCTATCAGTCAAAAAAGAACAAGTGAAGATACAACTTCAAGTTCACCTCCAAAGAAAGCTTCGGCAGGACCAAAAAGGGATGCCAGGCAGATATATAATCCTCCCAGTGGAAAATACAGTAGTAACCTGGGCAGCTTTTCTTACGGTGAGTTAGGCAGCTTGAAAAAACTTATTCGAGTTACAGTTGTGCCTTTTGGGGTGGGGAGGAAGGGGAAATTAACATTCTTAGAAGGTCACATTATACTGTCACCAATTTTTGTGTGTAGTGACCTTTTTCTAACTATTCATCAGTTAGTGTTGGAGTACTATCAGCATATATAGGCTGTAATGTGGTTTGCCAGGTTAGTTTTAGTAGCGTTTAAGCTTTTTAAGGTAACTGTTTCTAGTGCTTTATCTCATAATTGAGAACATACCCTGAATTTCCAAATGGCGGATAACTTTCTGCAAGTGACCCCTGCCTGTCTTATGACTTGACCTGTGTTCAATTTTTCTTATAGTTATTGCTAATGCTGCAGCCCTTTTCCAAAGCTTTTAGGATTTGTCAGATGTACTGTGCATGCTCCCAGTGTCAGAGTCAATCTGTCTTTCTGAAAGTCGTTTTTGTGGGTGAAATGGAAGAGCAGCTGCAGGCTGGATGAAACAGCAGCATGTTCTCACCATCTTACCCAGATGTCTATTAGGCCTACTTCTGCCAAGTAAATGGCTTGCCATGACAATTTATCACCTATGCCCATAGATTAAAAGAAAAAAAAAATCTGATATAAAACATTGCCTTACATCTAAAAGAAGGAGAAAGGGAAGTCTGAGAATTTTTTACTGCAGACTTGATGATGCAGTTCTGTACTTTAATATAAGCTTGTAATTATACCTGTTGTAAAAACTATAAACTTTTTAGTTTGCTACTGGGTTTGCTTTTTTTTTTATTGAGATGCCCAGGCCTCTCATCCACTTTAAATTTCTGTACATTTTAAAATATGCCCGTGGTTCTCCTCATAGATTGAAAGACTGTACATGAAGAGAAAGCATAGAAGAGAAATGAGAGTCTGATTCATTTTTTTTTTTTGTTTCCACTGTGTTCAGATTTGCTCTTTACAGTGAAAAACAAAACATCTTTTACAGTATAGAAAATAGTTTGTGTGGTATCCAGTTATACCTAAGATCTTTCATTTGGATAGACATTAGGGTACCAGGCTAACAAATAAACTTTACGTATGCTTATATCTTCAAGATAGAAAAAGGCAGGCTGAAAAAGTTGTGAGTTTCCATCATTTTATAAAATCCGTAGGAGCAAGTCAGGTGAATATATGTCAAGATCAGCATGGTGTTATTGGACTGAAGGATGAACTAGATGGCCAAGTGAAGTTATTTACAGCCCAGTTTTCAGGGCTAGCTCAGTCACAGTACACAGAAAGACTGTGCTTAGTTTAAAGAGGCTGGTTCTCCTGACATCCTTTTACAATTAGCACTCCAGAGTACAACTCAGATCTTACAACAAGCAAGATTAACCTCGGAGAGTGAAGTCAGCCTTAATACCTCTAGTTATTGCTGTTTAGTTCTCATCGGTATACAGCATGAAACCTGTATGAAAAGTTTTTGATTTCTATTTCAGAGCAAAGAGGTGGTTTTCGGGGTGGACGAGGAAGAGGCTGGGGAGGACGTGGCAATCGTAGTCGAGGAAGAATCTACTGAGTAGACCATTGTATCTTCCCTGGTCCCAATGGGCTAAAGCGAAAATACACTCAGCAAAAGATTGCTTGGAGTATTGTTTCCTTCAAGGACTGCCTTCCGCTAAGACTGATTTAAATGTTCTTTATACCTTTGTATGTATGATCTACTTTTCTAACGGACTACAACTTGTCCATAGTGAAACTACAACTGTATTTTTGGATGCTTACAGTCAGCAGTTTTGGGTTCTTGTTTTTGAAGTGTCTTCAGGATTTATTCAAAATTGGAGAAGAGCATAGATGTTTTATCAAAATTTACATCTTGATTGTTTGCATATTAACCTAAAAATCAGCTACCGCGTTACTATGTAATTGATTTTATGTATGAAGTAATGGATAGGAAAGGCATGACTACAGAGATATGTCAGAAAAGCTTAGCACCTAAAGTAATCCTTTCCTAGTCTGTAATCATATTTTGCAATATGTGGAGAAGAGTACCATTGTTAGATTTGCTTTTATTTACTTATAATGAACTTGACTGAGAGACCTGCTGGTTTTTTGAAGTTTGCAACTTGGTTGGAAATTTATTTTGCTTGTAGCATGAAGCAGTCCTTCTACTTAGGAAAGTGGAGAATGTGGTGTTCTTTTGTTTTGTACTTCTTACTCTTCTCCGTGCATTGTAACACAAAAGTGGTGTTTTGCAAAGGAATTTTAAATGTTTGATATGAATTCGTGCATATAATTATGCCATGAAATTACAGGAAATGAATAGGAAAAACAAAATAATAAATCATTAGAATTGTTCCAGGAATGGGTAAAGACTGATGCAGTGATTAAGCTTTGTAGACTGGAGCTGGACCGTAGCAGTACCTGGCTCTTTTCTGTGGTTTGCAAATTTCTGGGTTAGTTGGTACTCAAGGGTTGTGTTTTTGTTTTGTCTTTTTACCAATACAGTTGCATTTAAAAATATATAAATAAAATTGTATTTTGGGTAACATTGAAAAATTCCAGCTATGTAGTCGAATTCAAGTGGGAAAAATTAACAAATCCATGCTATTGCTTTTTTCATAGCAACTTGGAGTTCTTATTTACTGGTGTACACCCAGAAAATACAATGTAAGAGCACAATGCTTTTTTTTTATTCTCACCACTTAAAATTTTTACTTCTCAGGTCACTCAACATTGTAAAGGGGTTAGCTGATAGTAAAAAAAGAAAAGAAAAAAAAAAAAAAAGTTGGGGCAGGGGAAGAGAATTTCTAACAAGACTTCCAGGGCATGTTGATGTAAAATAGTTTAGGTTTTAGAAGAATGAAGATCTTTTCTTATCCTCCCTTTTTTTTTTTTTCTGCAGTCATTTGGAATCCACATATGAATGCTTGAAAGTGATGTTTTGCCACCTAGTTCCATTTGTATTTGCTTGTGAATCTGACTCAGGTGTCTTCAGTAACACTTCCATATTTATCACTGCAATCAAAAGGGCAGAATACCAGAATTATGTCGAAGTTGAAGTTATTGACCAAATTGTGAGTCTATTTTTGCTCAACTCTGGAGCAGCCGGCATTAAACTTAGGACATTCCAAGACATGGGAGCTTACTTGTACTTCTGAATATATGCCAGCTGCAAATCATATTTGTCACTAAAAGCAACAAACTTAGCAAAGCATTTTTCAAGTACAAATTCATGAGATCAAAAGTATCACTCTGAAAACAGGCACTAGAAATGGTAATAAGCTTTCATTGATGGAAAAAGGATATTTTGCACTTGTGGCTATAATTTGTTGTCTTGAGGGGATTTAAAATGTAATCTCCAAGCCTAAATGTAGCTTGCATTTAGATTAATATCTAGGCACTAGCAGCTTATTTTCTCACTGAGTTTGGAGTGAGTTTTTGTGAGGCTCCTGTTTTCTAGAGATGACATGCAAAGTTCCTGTAGCCTCAGAAGTAGTTAGATTTTCTCCCTTTCGTACTTAATTTTAATGCAGTGAGTTCTTGTGGAGACACCTGTTTACCATCTTGATGACTTGTAAATGTTCCCTTCTGCTTTTGGAATAAATTCATTTTGTAATTTTGTTTGGCTCATTGTTTTACAGTTACTCTGCAGCATTTTAAGCTGGCTTAGTAGCAGGGTGCTGTGCTACATTTTGGTTTAGTGACTTATTCATGAGATTGCCATAGATGTATTAGGCTGTTTGTCATTAAGGAATGTTTATCAAGACTGTATTAACTGCTTCAATTCAACTTAAATACAAAATCTTGGACAGGCATTTAAATATTCAACACAAGTTATGTGTCTCACAGATCCATTATATTTTATTTGGGAATGTATTGTGAAAAGGAGACGTCACGTTCACATAATATTCTAGATGTTGGCAGTGCAATAAACTATGTTGGTGTCTTGACAGCAACAGCAGCTTGGAGTAACGGCCTGATTTATTTGGTGAGCAGTGCAGCGTGCCTCGTGTGAAAACCTGGGCAACTGTAAGTACCACAGCTGTGGGACTGTATTCTCCATCCATCCTTAAGGGAACGCAAACCCTTGTGTTAGCTGACTGCTCCGTCAGCGTTTGTAAACTTTTTTCTCAATTGCAGGTGCTGGGCGTGCGTTGCAGTCACGTTTGTGTGTTCGGCAGGCTGAGGAAGGCTGGTGTCCTGATGGAGCACAACTGCTCGGCTACAACAGAGGGAAAATTGAATGTGGAAATCCTGGTTGGGTCTGGGACGGCGTGGCTGCAGCTGAGTCGGCGTTCCTCGTGGTGAACGTGGATGCCGGCAGCTGGAGTAGAAATGAAAAGTCATTCAAAAGTGTTTGAAGTAAAGGCGGACCACCTGCCAGACGGCCCCGCCCCACTCCCGGAGCCCACCTTCCAAAATGGCGGAGCGGGCGTTTCCGGTTCCGGGTGGTTCGGGCAGGCCGGGATCGGGGAAGATGGCGGCGGCAGCGGCGTCCGGGTGGGGCGGGCTGGGGCGGGCGTGGGTCTTCTCCGGCTGGGCGCTGGGCTTGTGCTCGTTGCTGGCCTCGGGAACGCGGCCCGCCGCCGCCACCACGCACTGGGTGGTCACGGAGGACGGGAAGATCCAGCAGCAGGTGAGGCCGGGAGCGGGGGGCGGCCGGGAGCCGCGGCGGTGGGGGAGCTCCTGCCCGCGCCGCCCTTCGTCGCAGGCTGAGCCCCTCTCGGGCTCCCCGCGGCGGGGCGAGCAGCGGGAGCTCTCGGGCCGGCAGCTGCCCTACTGCCCTTTGCCGCGCGGCCGCTGTCAGCCGCCGGGCCCCGTTATCTCTGGGAGCGGCTCTTTGGACGCGATCGGTGCGGTCGGGCTTCTGAATGAGTGTGCGATTTCTCGTTCCGCCGCCCCGCCCCGCCCGCTTTTCGCTTCTTCTGGAAGCAGGACGTTGAAGTGGCACCACGGCGGCCGGCTGCAAGGGTGTACTCCTCCTTCAGTTCTTGTGGGAGTACTCAGCGTGCCTTATGTTGGTGCTGGGCCGTGCCTCGCGCGCGCTGAGGATGTTTGGGTTTCGTGTTGGAGTTCTGTCATACGGGCTGCGATCTCTTGTTCATCCGTCGCGGTGTCAGATGCGCTTTGGTTGTAAACATCGCTGCCACGGCTGTCCTTGGCTGGAGTGGGAGGCAGTCGTTGCAGAAAGCTATGCCTCCATCATTTTTTATCAACAGTAGGACAGCGTGGAGCAATGAGAGTCTGTTAGCATCGCTTTTCTTCTGAGAGGCTTTTGCTGGGCTCTCCTATGCACATCTGTAGTCCTGAGGCAGGTGGAGCTGCCTGGAGGAGGCCTTGCTGCCTCCGTCGGCCTTAGGCAGTGCCTCATGGGCTGCCTGCATGGATCCCAGCACTCTAACCTCACTTAATCACAGGCTAATGAATGACAGCTCTCAGTATTATTTCTCCTCCTTTTCCCACTTTCATGAGTGGGGAAATGATGAAAGTGTATGCTAATGGGCTGGAAGCATCTGTGTGTGTGTGTATTAATTGTATATTATCAATTCTGGGTGAAGTGTTGATTTTGATTATTGCATGAAAAGCAGCTGTGACTTGAAAAATCTAATTAGCTAAAATGACTGGAAAATCTAATTAGCTAAATCCAATACTGCTTTTAAGAAGTGTCTTTTTATGATGTTGCATAAATGATGGATGCATTTCGAAGCTTCCACTGAACCACTGCTCTGCTGTAAGTTATTTAATTACATTAGTCTTCTAACTAGAGGCATTCTCATGTTCCTTCTGTAAACTACTTAAAAACTTAGTTGATGTGATAAAATAATGTCTGTAGAACAAGTTAACTTTTTTTTTTTTTTTAACCTGTGCCATCAGAATAAATTCACCCATTACCAGTAAGGAAACCCAAATTATAAATACAATATACTTGGGATATGAGAAGCTGCGTTCCTCAGTAGCTGGGATGCAGTGCTTTTTCATGAAGTGGTGCTTATTTTCCAGTGAGTTATTTATAATAGGATGTACTTCAGCATCTGTTAGCTTTTTCTCTCTGGCTCTTGAAAAAGTGAACCTTATCTTTGTGTCTATTGCTATCGCCACCCCTGCAGAGTACCTCGGACCTTCACTTTTTCCATTTATTTGTGTACTGGAAAATGAGAAATGTGGACGTTTTTCTAGAGTGAGCTTATATTTTAAGTGTGTTTGTGTGTGTATATATATACATCTACACAGATGTAAATGCATGTTTTGCTGCTATGTATGTATGTGTATTGCTGCTAAATGTTGAACCACAATAGATGACCTCTTCATTCACTTGTAATGGGGTGATTTGTAACAATTTACTATCACTTTGTTGATAAAAGAATAGTATTCCAAAATAACTGAGTTCTTAAAACAAAGACGTGAGTACTTTTAACAGAACTTAAAATTTCATTTCAAAGCGTTCTTTTAATTTTTCAGAGTATCCTTCATTAAGTTGATATTTTTATAAGAATTTCTTTTTACTGCTACAGTTAGCCATTCAGTTATCCTTTCTGGTTCCTTTTTTTGTGCATTTTCAGCGGGGCTTTCCTCTGTGTTCTTGCAGACCCTTGGCTGTGCAGCTTCTCGTGTTTCTCTGCAGTGTCCAACATTTCAGCTTCCCAGTGTATGTGGAGCTGTCATTGTACCAATTTCTCTGCTGGCTTTAATAAATCTGTTGGATTTTTTTGCTGAAGAAAATATTGTCACATCAGGATTCTCTGTATTACGCCAGTCTTTTCCTTTGAACTTTGAAGTAATGGTTCGTTGTGATAGTTCCTGCTGTGTGCATGGCACTCCATGTTTGGATTTTGGAGGACCTTATCTACTAGAAGACAGCGTGTAAGTGAGGACTCACATTTGAAACAAGGTTCACCTGCTGCTGATTTGAGTACAAAAACCTAATGAGAATCACAGGGCAGTGCTGCCTTCCCCACAGCTCAGAGCAGGGGCAGCTAGATCAGTTCTCAAGGTCCTGCTCAGCTCTGTCTGTGGATGGAGATTCAAGGGCTTTGCTGGGCACCTGCTCCAGTGCTCAGCTCTTTCAGAGTGTTGTTGTGTTGTTTTTTTTCTTTGCTCATTAGAATTTCCTGTCCATCAGCTTTGGCTGATTCCTCTGATTATGGCACGACAAAAAGCATCTGTCTCAGTCTTCTCAGTGCCTTCTCACCAGGAAGCTAGAGGCAGCAGCGGTGTCTGTCTTTGGCTGGCTCCTTGAGGCTGAGCCTGATTCTCATCCTTTCCTCATGGGTTTTGTGGGGCTTGCTCAGGTGTGTCAATGTATGGTACCATGCCATGAAAGCTGGCCTGCTGGCTCCAGCCTGCAGCCCAGCAGGCAGCTGACCTTTTTTGCTGCACAGACATGTGCTGCTGACTCATCATAAGTTTTTTCCCTAGCAGAACCCACATGTCCATTTCTGCAATGCCATTTCTATTCGGTCAGCCCAAGCCCTTCCTGGTGCAGGGGCTGTCCCACACTGGGTGCTGTGTTTGCTCTTGCCTTCTCTGATCAGCACAGTGGCTTCTCCAGCTGCGTTGCTTCCAGCCCTTCCTTCTGCTGTGCCACCCATGTTTGCAGAGGGTGCCCAGCTTGCTGAGGTTTGGTTGTTCCCCTTTTACGAAGACATTAAACAGTGCTGGCCCCAGGATTGATCCCCAAGGGACACTGCTGGTGACTGGCCACCATTGGACTTTGCACTGCTGAGCACAGCAGACTCACACTGGAAGTGCCCAGTGCTGTCCGGTGACAAACAGTTGTGGCATCAATTAGTATTTGTATTGTTAGCTTTAGTAGGAGCATTAGCTTTCTCAGAGTCTGAAATGCATTAAATTGTTGCCTTTTTGGGAACAGAGAGAGTTTAGTCTTCACTTGGACTACTTATCTGAATGAAGCCCAAATAATTAAGCTTAAGTGATAGTCAAATCCAGGCATTCACACTGTGGTTGGTTCACTAGCTGTGGAAATCCAGAGAAGTGTCAGTGAAAAGAGGTTCCCTGCAGCCTTGAGTTTGCTGTGGTGAATTGTATTCCCCTTGTTACCAAAGTGCACTGTGGCTTATGAGTGGAAAGGCTGCAGATATTGACCTGAGACAGTCTGAATCTGAGGGAATAATTTATACTATTACCTTAAAATCTCCATTAACTGTTTTCTCATAATGCAGCAAGTATATAAGCCTTTAATATGAAACTGTCTTCAAGTGTGAATGATGTTCCTGTGCTATAAGATAGTTAACAGCACCCTGACTGCCACTTCTTCTGGAGCTCCTGGAGTTATAACAACCAGGCAGGTGGCAGAGCTATGACAGACCCAACAGCTTGCAGTGTATCAGCAAGATCCCATGCACTAAATGGGAGTGTTTGCTAAGTAGGCACTGCTGTTCCAGTGAGCATTTCTGAATGATAAAGCAAGTTAATTCTCAGCAGTGCATGTAACATTCTGTTGTCTCACTAAGCCATCAAGCTCTGTATTTTGCTCTAGGATCTATTTTCAGGTCAAATACATCTTTCTCACTCAGTTCCTGTTCTTTTTTTGGTCTGAGTCCTTCAGTTGTGCGTTCCTGGAGAGCTGGGGACAGACCATTTATTGAGATGATATCTGCACAGTGTACGTGTTTGTAAACTTTTTCATTTCACAGCTTCCAGTATAAAGTTCAGACTAATATATAAACTGTTTTAGGCTGTGCTTGTCTGATAGCAGGAAGGCTGGCTACCCTACTGAAGTACAGGTGTCCTTCCAGATAACGGAGAAACGTGGCACGAGGAGGATGGATTAAATACAATGCTGTAAACAGTTCCAGCAGTCAGTTGTGGCTTTGCTGGTGCAGACTGGCTGCTGCCATGTACCGAAGACGTATCTGAGCTGAGGTAGATCTTTGTAGATACCATGTTTGGGCTTGGTGGAGACAGCTGCAGCCCAGCATGTTGTGAGGGGACTGGAAGAACTGCCCTCATGTTACCCTCATGTTAGTTCTGAGCTCCTAGGCAGATGGTTCTAGGCAGGGCTGAGGAAGTATTGCCAGGAGTAAAGAGCCTCTGGCAAGGCCTCTGAGTTGGCAGAAAGTCATTTTGCTTTTGATGTGCCGTTGTAGATTTTGAAGTTTGTTAAGTGATGAACTGGAGACCAGCATGGAGGTACAAGGCTTTGGCCTGTCCAATGCTGAGAATAAAGCCCTTCAATAGGAACAGCACCTGAATTCCATGCAGAGCAGCACTGTGTTCGATTCTACTTAGTTCATGAAGGGAAGTGTTACCCAACAGTTCTTCCTGTGGAGACAGGTTTGAGCATGAGTGTGCCCTAAGCTGTGGCATGAAAAGATGGTTCATGGGTGGCTGTAAAGCCACAAGCTGTAAACCCAGCTGCTACTGCTTGGCTGTGGACTGATGGCACAGCACAGGTCTGGAGCCCAAGTTGTGTCCAGGTGTATGCTCGGAACAGAGAAAAAGCAGCCTCCAAAGCCAGGGAAGCAAAAATCTAGTGCAGACAAATGAAAGGTATTTGCTGCTTACAAGAACAATTTGTGTGATACATTAGGCAGTTGCTCAGTCTCATCTTGAAAAATGATGGGTGAATCTTTGCTTTTCTGTTTTTCTTAAGGTTCTTTTGACCACATGACCATT